TGTGTGTGTGTGTGTGTGTGTGTGTGTGTGTGTGTGTGTGTGTAGATTGAACCAAGGTCTCACCCACTGAACTTATATCCCTAGCCCACAGACATTTGCTCAATCATTTTTTCTCAACTCTGGTTGAACATTAGGTTCATTAGGTTCATTGAACATTAGGTTCATTTTCAAGCTGCAGGAAAGAGAGAGCAGAGCAGCACGTGGTATTCTGCAGGGGAAAGGTTTATTTTCGAGCTGCAAGCTGCCTCTGGTCAAGGTGGAAGCCCATGGGAGTGGGGGTGGGGGAGGGGGATCACCCACAGCCTCACAGTTAGGAAGGCCAAAGGTGGGAGAAGGTGTGGCCACACCAGATGCAGATGTGACTTGGGGAGGGGGTGACTGCCTCCAAGTGTGCCAGTTACCTAGGTGATGCAGGTACTGGGCAGAGACTTAACCCAGAGGAGGGAGGAGCCTGCTCTGCCTTCCCAGGGCGGACCTTACAGTCAAAACTTTCAAAAGTGCTATAAACGTTCATCTGAAACTTTCTGATGAAAGTACTCTTTAATAAGGAGACAGGCCTAAAGGTACCCTCTAAATTACTTTTCTCTAAAAGAGAAAGGCTTCAATATAAATAGTATTCACAAATAAGAAGACACATATTCTAGTTTGCTTCTCACTGTCAATAATGTTCTCAGACTGGAATCATTCCAGAACTCTTACACTACTGGAAGCTTCGAGTGACCCACCTCAGGTCACACAGCAAGTTGGTAGAGACTAACAGGACAGCCCAGAGCATCTAATAATCAGAAATTTTTCAGTTTAACTCTAGAGTTTATGATGTCAGGTTGTCTACTTCAACACAGATCCCCATTAATGAATTTAATACAAACAGGATATTCCTCACAATCTCATCTTTCCAATTTTATCAAGATGCAAAATTTTCTTAAACTTGTCTTATTGTTTAGCCAATGAAAGTTTTAAACAGAAGCCATTAGGATAAACTGTCAAGAAAGAAAAGATGGATTTTTTTACTTAAAAATCTGGAAGATGAGTGCTTCTTCTCCACTGGTGGTGAACCGTTCTCTGTAGAACTCTCCATGGGAGGTTAGGTCGCTCAGAGACAGACTCCCGATGCTGCCCTGCAAGGCCAGGTCTCCCTCTAGTGGTGGGAAAATTACATGTCACCATGACACACACCTTTAATACCATTTACCACAGGGATAAAAACTGATGTACACATAATTTTCACCTTTTTGGGGGGCAGTACTAGGACTTGAACTCAGGGGCTTACATTTTTACTTAGCTTTATCCCCTCATGGTTAGTGATTTACCAGTTGAGTCATCAGCATTTTGCTGGTTATTTTAAGATAAAAATTTCAAGGACTCCGCCGGGCGCTGGTGGCTCACGCCTGTAATCCTAGCTACTCAGGAGGTTAAGATCTGAGGATCACGGTTCAAAGCCAGCCCGGGCAGGAGAGACCGTGAGACTCCTATCTCCAATAAAACACCAGAAAAAAACCGGAAGTGGCGCTGTAGCTCAAGTGGTAGAGTGCTCGCCTTGAGCTGAAGAGCTGAGGGACAGCGCCCAGGCCCAGAGTTCAAGCCCCACGGCCGACAAAAAAAAAAAAAATTTCAAGGACTTTTTTCTCTGCTGGGCTGGCTTTGAACCACAATCTCAGATCTCAGCCTTCTGAATAGTTAGGATTACAGGTGTGACCAACCAGCTCAGATTTTACCTTTTTTTTTTTTTTTTTGTATGTGTGCTGGTCCTAGGGCTTTTTTGCTCAAAGCTAACACTCTACCACTTGGGCCACAGCTCTATTATGGCTTTTTTGGTAGTTAATTGGAGGTAAGTCTCAGACTTTTGTACCCAAGCTGGCTTCAAATTGCAATGCTCAGATCTCAGCTTCCTGAATAGCTAGGAGTACAGGCATAAGCCACCAGTGCCCAGCTAGAGTTCACTTTATTTTTTTTTCTTTTTTTTTTTTTTTTTGGTGCCAGTCCTGGGGCTTGAACTCAGGGCCTGGGCACTGTCCCTGAGCTTCTTTTGCTCAAGGCTAGCACTCTACCACATGAACCACAGTGCCACTTCTGGCTTTTTCTGTTTATGGAGTACTAAGGAATCAACCCCAGGGCTTAATGCATGCTAGGCAAGCACTCTACCATTAAGCCACATTTCTAGCCCTAGAGTTTACTTTCTAATTTAAACTAAACGTCAGAAGGAAAGTTTAATATTCTAAAATGCACAGAAAAAAATATACAGGTATCTATTATGTAGATATAACATTAACACAGTATTAGATTTGAATCTGGGCCTTGTACTTGATCAGCAAGTGTTCTACCAGTTGAACCACACCTCCAGCCTTGTGCATAAAAATATTTAATGCACTATTTTAAATAAGAATATCAGTGCTCAAGTTCAAAAGAGCTGAAATAACACAGCAACATCACATAATAATATTTATAAGAGGAAAGAAATTAATGTAAATGCTTTGCGATGAACAAATGTGACAGAAATATGATTCTTTCTGAGTTAGAACAATAACTAGGCATTAGTAAAACATGATAAGTTCTATTAATTATACTATGAATAAACTAAAGGAGGAAATGTCAGAAATGTGTCAGCTATTCAAACAACGTTAATTGGGTTTTAGAGTGATTTAAGATAAAAGAATAAAATCAGTGAGGTTGACAGACACAGGAGACAGGTTTGAGAGGAATCTGATGGCAGGGGTGCAGCCCCTAAATGGCAGGGAGGAGAAAGAGAGGATGCTGGGGCACATGCAACCAGAGCATAAACCTTAGATGGATCATTCTTAACACTGTGGATACTGAAAGGAATATTCTGAACTGCTGCTTTCATAAAACAAAATTTATCATAATTATTAGAGAAGACAGGTGCCAGTAGCTCATACCTGTAATCCTAGCTACTCAGGAGGTTGAGATTTAAGGACTGCAGTTCAAAGCCAGTCCAGGCAGGAAAGCCTGTGAGACTCATCTGCAATTAACCACCAAAAAGCAGGGCATGGAGTTGTGGCTCTAGTGGTAGAACACTAGCCTTGAGCAAAAGAGCTCAAAGACAGTGTCCAGGCCCTGAGTTCAAGCCCCAGGACTGGCGCACATGTACACATACATGCATACATGCACAAACACAAACAAAAAAAAAAAAAAACCGATACTAACTAGTCAGAAAGTTGAGATATGGAGGATCACAGTTCAAAGCCAGCCAGGGCAGAAAAGACTGAAAAACTCCATCTCCAAAAAACTAAAGCAGACTGGAGGTGCGGTTCAAGTGGTAGAGTACAAGCCATGAGTGAACAAGCAAGCAAAGTGCATTAGCAAGCAGGAAGTACTGGATTCAAGCTCTGGTACCAACACAAAAATATACAAATGCCTGGGCCCATTCCTACTATCAGATTCTGGGGACAGAAGAGGGAGAGGGCAGCGGAGGAGGCAGCGCCAAACTCCTGCATTTTTACAAGCTATCCTCCAAACAATTCTAATCCACAAACTGGTATTTTGGGGCCAAATATAAACCAACTACAATCCAGCCATCCATCCACATCCCACTAAGCATGTGAAGACAATTAGTCTGGTGTTAGGATATTCAAATACTTCCTAGATCTTACAAGTTTGATCCCCTCCTGCCCCCCCACCTCACCAAGACTTACCAATCATTTCCAGGTGTGCTACTAATTTGGAAACATTTGCTTTAGCAAGCTCGCTGGTGGTCTTATTGAGCACAAGGGAGAGTGAATGAACCTAGGAACACAGCAGATGAAAGAAGGCAAATATTACTGGGGGGGGGGGGGGGGGGGGGGGGAGGCAGAGGGAGGAGCGGGTCAAGGGTTGTCAGGGAAACAACAGAACAAAATCAAGGAGGGTACAGAAAGGCCTAGGAAGGGAGGAAAGGCTTTGCATGATGCTGGCTGCACCCCAGCCCAGTCACCCCAGGGTGAGACCCAGAGCTGATGATAAAGGGCAGCCTATATTCCAGGTTCCGTGGCATCTTTCCTCCTCTTGCCTTGGACACTGTAAAACAACTTGGCCCATGTTTGTATACACTGATAATATGCACAGTTCTGCAATGACTCAAACACATTTGTGAACTCTGCTCTAAAATTTGTCCAAGCCAGATGATAAAGATGACTTAGAATCACACCTAGTGCCTTTGAACAAGTATTTCACACACTGCACCATCAACAGGGACCTTATCTAAAAACACAAGCAAAGGTTCTTCTTTCCTAAAGACAACTACAAACAGAAGAAAAGCCAGGCCCTGTGTCTCAGAAACAGCATTCTTTGTAACAACTCCATCTGCTGAGTAGAGATCTCATAAACTTTTCTAAGCTGGCTTTAATCCACAATCCTCCTGACCTCAGCATCCTAAGTAGTTAGTTGAGTAGCTGGTAGAGTTTACACATGTCTGTCAGCCTAGCTAAAGCATTAGAGCACCTGCCTAACAAGGCCCTGTGCTCAAACCTTGGCACCACCAAAAAAAAAAAAAGTTTTAAAAAAAAAAGAAGCATGGAGGAGGGAGGATGGGAAGGGATGGGAAGGGGAAACAAAGGAGGAGGCTACAATGCTTGATAAGAAATGTGCTCATTATTTGCCCATGTAATTGTAACCCCTCTGTACAGTATTTTCACAATAAAAAATAAATAAAAATTTTTTAAAAAGAATGAAATGTACTCATTATCTTGCCCATGAAATTGTAGCTCCTCTGTACGGTATTCTCACAATAAATAAACAAACAAACAAACATTTTTTAAAAAAGCATGGAGTTTTATAAATCATTCACTCCTCTACAGTCCACCAATAAAAGGGCATTTCTGAAACAGGGAAATCTGAGTGTGCAGTTAAGTGCTATATAATACCAAGACATTTTTATTTAATGTAGCTGGATGGAACAAGATGTTATAGTCATGTAAGAAAATGTCTATTTTTTTCCAGAAATGAAACTAAAGAATGTCAAGGTGTAAAACATTTCAGTGAGGGAAAAAGAACAAAGGCGATGTGATGACATATAGAGCTGTGTATATGGGGCTCATTATAGTATCTTCTCTATGATGTGTATGAGATTCTTCACAACAAAAATGGTTCTCAGGGCTGCGAATGTGGCTTAGTGGCAGAGTGCCTGCTTAGCATTCATGAAGCCCTGGGTTCAATTCCTCAGTACCACATACACAGAAAAGGCTGGAAGTGGTAAGAGTGCTGTCCTTGAACATAGAGAGGCTCAGGGACAGTGCCCAGGCCCTGAGTTCAAGCCCCATGGGCAAAAAAAAAAAAAAAAAAAAATGGTTTTCAAAAATTCTTACTTCAAAAAGTACATTGTTGAGAGGTGTTCATCACCACTATAATCTCTGCAGCACCCCCTGGGACAACTCCCTACTCCTTAGCTTGGGCCACAATAACAAAATCAGTTACTAGCATACTAAGTACAAGCCAAGAAGGAATAAGGCTCAGCCATTTCCATTCGTCTTGGGCCTGGAGACCAAGACCCCAGCGCATAACACAGTCCTTCATACTAAGCAGAGGGCAAAGCTGGCTCTTTCTCATCTCTGTCCTATATCTCTTCCCACTCTTGAGGAGAGGGCCGCTGCTGCCAGCAAGGCCAGCAAGACAAAGAATATGATTCTCCTCTCTGATTTCTCCCCATCAGTGAGTGCAAGTCCACACACTCAAAGACCTTCATCCCCAACATACTAACGTCATCAGCCACCGTAGTTAAAAGGCCTAGGTACCTTGAAATAGTCAACTCAGTCTAACTACCCTCATGTCTTACTGTTCCATCACATAGCAATGGCCAAAATTCCAAGTGCCATCTCTAACTTACTTACTTACAGTAAGTACCAGAGATAAGTTATAAGGACAATAATCCTGGAAGTAGTAAGCTAGTGCTCTGCCACTTAAGCCACAACTCACTTCCAGCTTTTTAGTGATTAATTGGAGATAAGAGGCTCATGGACTTTCCTGTTCAAGATGGCTTCAAACCACAATCCTTAGATCTCAGCCTCCTGAGTAGCTAGGATTACATGCATGAGCCACCAGCATCCAACCTTTCTCAGACATTTATATTCGCCTTTTATAACCGACACCCAGAAAACTATATAGCTCCCTGCCAAAAAAAAGGTATTTTCCAGAATAAATGTAAAATGCTCACATTTAAATAAGCAGACCAAAATTTAGTTTTAGGACTTAAGGGAGCCCGAGGAAACAGATACCTTGAGATCCAGCTTGGTGTTGATAGGGTCCTGAAGTTCAGACTCCATTACAGCACTGGATTCTGACTTTACATTTTGTACAAGGCCCTCAGGTGGCACCTTCATTGCATGGTTGTCTGCAGTGGAGCCAATCCCAAAAAAATCCAGTATCACCACCCAGGTCTGCAAGGTGATCAGCACATCCAAGCAGTTAAAATCAACATCAATGCTCCGGTTAACTCGATTGTAAATGGAAGAGAATTCCGGATGTTTCTTATCCACCAGGAATATGTTGATGTGGACCAAGGAATCATCAAACTGACTCTTCCCCACATGCCCCTTGGGTCCATCTACTGTGGGGGAGGGAGGAGGAGTTAAGGGACACTCCTTGTCTTTGACTTCCTTCTGTGTCTTCCGGGACACGGAGGTGGGTCTCTGGTACAACTGGAAGACATTTGGCGCTTCCTCCATGTGGGAAGGCAGAGACCGAGGCATGTCAGGATACTCCACATTGGATACGGAGGGGCAGGACTGAGAGAGATACTCTTTCTGTGCTAGGCTTGATGGCTTAGGAGCCCCTCGAGATACCATCAGGTTCTTATATTTGGAGTCTGGATTCTTCTCCAGTAAGTCTTCCATCAGAAGAGAACGCAGAGCAATCTGAATGGATAAGGTCTGAGGGTGGTCTTTACTGAACTCCACCTCAAAATCCTGAAACTTTAAGCTCACAAGACCTTGGGCTCCCAAAGTCAGATCTGCACTCAGCTGTACCTGGAGTTCTGAGATACAGAAGTTGGCTTGAATCTGAGTGAAGGCCTTGGCTTCCTTCACAGACAAGGACTTCTGGGAGGCACTAGAAAGGCTGGAGTGGCTGAACAGCCCATTCTCCTTCCTGTCGGCAACAGGTTCTCCACAGGTACTAAGGACAGGTAGGGGAGAAGTAGGGCAAGGGGAGGAGGGAGCACTGGCTGGAAATTTATTCAGATCTTCACTGTACACGAGGTTGTCCAGCGTCTGCAAGACCTGCTCATACACGTGCTTGGCTAACACAACCTGCAGGCAAGGGAACAATTCAGTTTAGTCTACAGCTATCATTAACTCACTCCCCTCCATCTCTAGTTGCTATTTCTGTGTCCCAGAAAGCTTTAAGTTAGCAAGGACTATGTCTTTCAATTCTTTTCTGATTCCACTTCTTTCTGTCCTTCTATTCACAGGGCCTTCCCACAGCACCAGATGACTCTGCAAATCACCCCAACCAAAAAAATAACAGCAGAAATTGAGGCAAGTACTGCCAAAGCCCTAATGTGGGAGTGCCAGGAGACTGGGCCTCTAAAACTGGCCAACCATCACCCAACAGAACAACAAAGGATGCTTAGTACTTTTTAAATAATAATGATGAGAAACTGTGATTGTTTAAAGTTTATACTTTCTCTCTTTCTCTGTCTCTGTCTCATTAACTGCTAATTAAATTATCACATCAAAGTTCAACAGTAGAATAGAGCACTGCATGAATGGCTGACAAGGAGTTTGACAAAGGCGGATCAGGCTCTTGCCACCTACACATCAGCAATTGCAGCATCAGTAGGAGATACAGATGTCACATGTCTCCTGACATAATGTAGGATGGGTGCACAGCACCACCTTTGAAGTGTTCTAGCCAAAAATGAAGCATAATCCAACGAATCCTGAAGAGTTCACAGGAAATACAAAGGCCCAAGTGACAAACGAACAGCTAGCTAGTCCAGGACCAACCCTGGGCCAACCCAACACAGCAGATGGCTAAACAGCAAAGGAGAACATATTATCCTACTATTCTCCTCTTCAGCTATCCTGGGCTATAATGCTTAAGTAGTTAAAATTCACTATTTAGAACAAGAACATTCATAAAATGAAGCCGGGTGCTGGTAGCTCACGCCTGTAATCCTAGCTACTCAGGAGGCTGAGATCTGAGGATCGCGGTTCAAAGCCAGCCCGGGCAGGAGAGACCGTGAGACTCCTATCGCCAATAAACCACCAGAAAACCGGAAGTGGCGCTGTAGCTCAAGCGGTAGAGGGCTCGCCTTGAGCTGAAGAGCTGAGGGACAGCGCCCAGGCCCAGAGTTCAAGCCCCACGACCGACCAAAAAAAAAAAGAACATTCATAAAATGAACCAGTTTGACCAGCATCCTCACACAGCACATCTCCTACAGCACCCACGGGTGAGCAGCACTGAAGAATCAAAATTCTTTTGTTGCAAATATGACATCCTGCAGGGCACCTGACCTTACTTCCACAATAAAATAATGGCACAGGGGCAAAAAGAAAAGAAAACTAGATTAAGAGAAACCTTAGCATCCAAGTACAACATGTAGACCTCTTTGGATCCTGATTTAAACCAACCAAAGGGGAGCACATTTTTGAGATAATCAAATGGATTATCTAAAAATGGATTCAAACTTAAAAGGTATCATGAAATTGTCATTAATTCAGGAAGGCATGCTAGTACCATTGCAGCTATGTGGACAGACACACAGACTTTGCTGAGCTACATCCCAATACACCAGGATGAATATAATATGAAATCTCAACACTGCCTTAAAATATTTCATTTCAGTGGCAGAGCCCTTATCTGGAGTGTGCAAGGTCCTGAGTTCCACCTCAGCACCACCACTCTACTCCCTCAATAAAAGAGACAGATCAAACAGAATGGCAACCCCTGGACAATGGTGACTAGGAATGACAAGCATGTAGGCCTATCGTTCTGCTGTGTGTTTACATCTTTCATAATAAAGTGATTTAAAGAATTAAATCTTAGCCAGCACTGATGGCTCATGCCTACAATCCTAGCATCTCAGGAGGCTGAGATCTGAAGATTGTGTTTCAAAACCAGACAGGGCAGGAGAGTCCATTTACTTCTAATTAACCACCAGAAAACTGGAAGTGGAACTATGGTTCAAAGTGGCAAAAAGAGCACAGAAACAGCACTGAGGCCCTATGTTCAAGCCCCATGACCAGCAAAAAATAGGTCAACAGAGCTGGGTACCCAGTTGCTCTTCCCTGTAATCCTAGCTACTCAGGAGGTTGGGCTCTGAGGATCAAGGTTCAGAGCCAGACTGGGAAGACAAATACAAGAGACTCTTATCTCCAATTAACTAGCAAAAGCCAGAAGTAGAAGGGTGGCTCAAGGGGTAGAGTACCTGCCAGTCTTGAGCAAAAAAGCTAAGGGACAGCATCCAGACCCCAAGTTTTCAAGCCCTAGTACCAATTCAAAAAGAAAAACAAAAAGTGGATTGGGGTTGGAAGTATGGCTCAGATGGTACAGCACCAGACAAAAAACAAAAAGTCAAATTCTGAGTTTAAATCCTGATTTCCAGGGACACACACACACACACACACACACACACACAATTGTTTTGAGAAAGGGGGAAGGAGGGCAAGAAGAGTGAGAGGGGGGTGAGACTTTTAACAAAAACATGTGGAAATGTAGCAATATAATCCCCCATGATAATCCTATCATGTGCTTGGAAAAAAAACTGTTCTGGTAACTATTACTACTAAGACATTTGGCCTGAGCAGGAAGTTAGGGGATGTTTTCTCAACCACAAACCCTCACCTAGGAGCTCCTGACAGCAATAGGCTCACACTTTGTGTTAACCACATACCCTGGAACAACTGCTGGACAGTCTAGTGACTACTTAAGAGGCCCAGACTAGAGTCTGTTGTCTTAAGACCCTGCCTGTCTTTGTTTTATAATGTTCTTTGCTCTGGAGAAATAAAGGAGAAAAGTTTTTTTTGAAGAAGAAAGATTATAACATATAGCACACATATTGCACATATTATATCCAAGTTCCTATTCTGGTCCTGTTAACTTCAGAAAGCAAAGACAAATTCTCCTTTGAAAGATTCTACCAATAGCTCAGATAATCACATTGTTTTTCAATTGGATACCAAGAGTATCCAAAGTGACAATAACGTATCTTCCTGTGAAGGACAGTCTCTGACTTTTTTAAAAAGAATTTCCCTGTTTCTGAATGGCAACAGAACTAGGAATCTGCCTTCTTAATACAACTCACACCTATTCCACATGAAGAAGGCTAACAAGAATGACTGCCTAGTGACAAAACCACACATAAAAGGATTGCAGGTTTACAAGCTATCAAAAATAGATATAGCCTGGTGCCAGCAGCTCACGCCTGTAATCCTAGCTACTCAGGAGGCTGAGATCTGAGGATCATGGTTCAAAGCCTGCCCAGGCAGAAAAAGTCTATGAGACTCTCATCTCCAATTAACTACCACGAAACCAGAAGTGGCGCTGTGGCTAAAGTGGTAGAACGCAGCTTTGAGCTGAAGAGCTCAGGGACAGCACCCAGACCCAGAGTTCAAGCCCCACGACCAACAAAAAAAAAACTATGTGCTGTAATAATGTTCTCTTGAAACCATATACTTTCCTTCCAATACTTAATTACATAAATGTGTAACAAATTAAAATCTAACATATTTATTTGTTTTTTGGGGGTTTTGGGGGGTGTCTGGTCGTGGGACCTGAACTCTGGGCCTGGGCGCTGTCCCTCAGCTCTTCAGCTCAAGGCTAGCACTCTACCACTTGAGCCATAGTGCCACTTCCGGCTTTTTTTTCCTGCTTATGTGGTGCTGAGGAATCGAACCCAGGGCCTCATGCATGAAAGGCAAGCGCTCTACCACTGAGCCACCTTCCCAGCCCCAAATCTAACATATTTATGAAAGATAAATATAAATATAGGTTGAGTATCCCTAATCTGAAACCCCAAATAGCCCTAATCTGGAACTGCCTATAAATTCATATAACACATCAAAAGTTTTTCTCAATTCTAATCGTCAGAAGAAGGATGCTCACCCAAAGAAGTTTTTACAAAAATTTCAAAATCCACAAGGTGCAAAAATCAGAAGTTTCTGGTCTCAAGCCAGGCTTGGTGGCTCACACCTGTAATCCTAGCTCAGAAGGCAGAGATTATCACTATTCAAAGCCAGTCAGTCAATGGGTATTTACCTGAACCGGATTGACAAATTTTCCTTCAATCTTCATGATGCTAGAGGTTTCCAGGTCATCTGGACTAAGGGAGAAAGTCAACTCAGATTCTCTCTCTATGGGGATCTTCTCCAGTTTAAACTGAATGGTAGTATTATTCAAGATGTGAAAAGCTGGGAGAAGAGAGAAGAAATGAAACTATAAACACTAATATCTACCATGTTATATTGATGATTAAATATCATGGATGTCATGGACATGAGTTACTGTTCAACCAGAACCAGAGGGCATGGGGTCTATGCAATAATTGGAGGGGGCGGGGGAGGGAAGGAAAGAGAAGAGAAGAGAAAAGATGAGAAAGAGAGGGAACGAAGAAGGAAAGAAGGAAAAGGAAATTGTAGTGACATGCTCTATTTTGAAGTTTCAAAATATGACACAATAAGCGGTTGGGCATAGTGGTACACACCTATACTTCCAGCTACTCAAGAGGCAGATCTTTGGAGGGTTAAAGTTCAGCCCAGGTTTAAAAAAAAAAAGGTTAACAAAATATCATTTCATTCAACAGGATGGGCATTGTAGTACATACGTATAAATCCTAACTATGGAATTCCTTTTTTTTTTGGGTCCGGTCGTGGGGCCTGAACTCTGGGCCTGGGCGCTGTCCCTTAGCTCTTCAGCTCAAGCCACAGCGCCACTTCTGGCTTTTTTCTTTTTGCTTATGTGGTGCTGAGGAATCAAACCCAGGGCCTCATGCATGTAAGGCAAGCACTCTACCACTGAGCCACCTTCCCAGCCCCTGGAATTTCTGTACCAGTAAGTACAACCAGGCTTTAAGAGCTTACCTGACCTCTGTGCATGCCAAGACTAACAGACCTGACTGTATATAGCAGATTGGAGCCAGAATACAAATTCAGAATTTCATTCCCAGAACCCTGGGCCAAACCACAACAGAAGATGGCCAAACAGCAAAGGAGAACATATTGTCCTACTCTATTTATATTCACCTCTTCGGCTATCCTGGGCTATAATACTTAACTAGTTAAAGTTTGCAATTTAGAATTAAGAACATCGATACAATGAACCAGTTTGACCAGTATCCTCACAGAGCGCACCCATGGGTAAGCAGCACTGAAGAAACAAAATTCTTACTTTGCAAATATGACATCGAATGGCAAAGGATGAAGACAAATGGAGCAAGCTACTATGAGGCATGATACTAAAGTTCTACTATGAGTTCCTCAAATACAATCTGGGGCTTATTCGTGTGTGTGTGTGTGTGTGGGTGCGTGCGTGCGTGCGTGCGTGCGTGTGTGTGTGTGTGTGTGTGTACGCTCACCCGTGCATGACAGTTCTAGAGCCTGAACTCAGAGCTTGGATACTGTCCCTGAGCTTTTCTACTCAAGGGTAGCACCCTACCATTTGAGCCACAACTCTACTTCCAGCTTTTTGTTGGATAATTGGAAATAGGAGGTTCATCAACTTTTCTGCCCAGACTGGCTTTGAATGGAAATCCTCAGATCTCCTCCTCCTGAACAGCTAGGATTACATAGGCACCTGGCTAGAAACAGCTTTTGTTGCTATTTTTAGCCAACTACTATATGAGCTGGGTTTTGAACCTTTCAACTGAATCAAACAGAAGTCTGCTGCTCCTCACCTTGACCTCTATGCAAAGATTCAAAAAAATCATGTCTGGTGAAATATGCTTCCTCCTGGCTGTTAGCACTGGCGCACCCAGAGGGCAGGCAACATGTCCGATTGACTTCTGATCCAGCACCATCTCTGCTGGCCAACTGGGTACAATTTAAAGAATATAACTTAATGTCTTTGATCTCCACCTGCAAACGGTCACTTCTGGATTCATCATCACCAGCCACAAAATTCTGGATGAATATCTGTCCTAGGTGTCCCACCAATAACTCAGGGCTCCCAGGCTTCCGGGGAATGGAGACAACTGGCGACTCAATGTTGATGTTCAAGATAAGCTTCACTGTGTCCGAGTGAGGCGAAGCAAAGCCAAACCCGTGCGCCTCGTCCTCCTCCAGGAAAAAGGGCTCCCGGGTCTTTCTTGGCATTTCAAAGAGGGACACCATCTCGCTATACTCAGCTGTCTTGGTAGCTAAGACGGTGGTGACTTTGGTGGCCGCACTTTTCAGCATACTTCGAAAATTTTCTTCCAGTTCATCCATGGATAATGTCAACTCCTTTAAGAACTTGGCAGAATGGTTGTAATGCAAGGAAGCCATCTTCAGGTTGAGAAAACATTCCTGCTTGGATTTCTCAACAAACGTGAAACTCAAAGCTTCAGTCAGGGCTGCATCTTCCGCTCTAACAAACACAGATTCAAAGTAGCCGATGTCACTGATGATATTTTCGTAGCCCACAGAATTCCCAATGCTGACAACATACTGGTTCTTAACATTCTCTTGTGTCAGGTCCATAAGCTGCAAACAGCCTAAGGAGCCATTCACATCGAACGTGCTGCCCATTGACACGTTAACCTTGGTGCCACCTATGCTCGCCGTGGCAATTTTCCGGCCATGTTTGTCCCCATTTGCCATTCCCACTGTCCGAAGGAGCAGCAGGTTAAGCCTGTGGATTTCCACCGCAACCTCCGTGTTCTGTTCATAGGTAGACTGGTAAGTTCCTTGCTCACTAAAGCTTCTTTCTAAATCAGTCATTAAAGGCTGAGGACTCAAATCATCTTTCTCCTTGGGGAAGGATTTTTGAAGGAAACCAATCAACTCCACAATTGTCTCTGGATTTAAGATAATATCCAAGTTGTTCACCTGCAGAGAAACCACTTGAAGCGTGCTATCTAAGCTCATGGACGGGCACTCGGAACTCACAAACTGATACTCCAGCTTAATGAGGGACTCTTGCTCTTTGGTGAGGATCTTTTCCAGGGAAACACTTGTTGCTGATCGGTCATTCACAGAGGCCATATCAGTAACCATGTGAGGTCCAGAGACAGGAGACTGGGCCCTGCTGTCCCGCAGGCTTCCTGTTGGAATATCAAAGCTCAAGTTCTTATGAGAAGCCATCAAAAGGTCAAAATCAGCACCATAGGTCTGCATGGTGTCCACCAGGAGCAATCCATGAACAGTGAGGGAGACTTCAGCATCATAAGGCCTCTTCACAAAGTGAGCATTGGTACCAAACACTTTGAGCACAGAAATGTAGCGGCCATTGCTCTCCACACCAAGCTGCATACAGTTAACTTTAAATTCAGCCAGGAGGAGCTGTGACTCTACTAGAACCTCGCGTGTGTGCTGCTCCAGCATCACAATGCTCTGGGTTAAGTTCATTACTGAGTCCTGCAGGCTTCCCCGCTGACCTTCTTGGGGGAAAATCTTCTCTTTGATCTGAGTGTCCGAAGTCTTCATTTCTGGTGTGGTGAGGAGAGCGAAACAGTTCTTTAGGGCAGATATCTTATCTTCATTGATGTGGATTTTTAAATCTGGCAAGTTGCCTGAAAGCACAGCCCCTGGGTATTTGGGGTCTGAGGTATAAATTAGCCTCCGCTCTAACTGCAGATGAACATTGAATTTCTCTACCACGTGGGTGGGCCCCACATCAATGTCCTGGACATGCTTCCAATTGTCTTTCACTCGTCCCACCATGATCTGGAGGTCCATAAATGACAAGGAATACCGCTCGTACATCTTGGTACTCATTAAATGGGCCTGAAGCTGCTCCTCGCTGAACTCCACTCCAGAAAAGGGAGGTGTTTGCTTGCTGTGACTGCTGCTTGTCTCCGGGGGTGGAGTACTGGGAGGTGTGGCCAAAGGGGTCTTATACTCATCATCACTAAACTGATTGTCCTCAGAGGCTGACCTGTCCCCACTTTTCCTCCTGGTGTCATCTGCAGGGAAGAAAAAAACAAGAGCGTATTTCCTCTTGTCCTACTCTAGAATCATGAATATAAGTTTCAACCAACCCCAATTTAAAAAAAAAAAAAGGATGAAAAGTGAAAGCCCAGCATCTGTATTTACCATGTGTGCAATTACGTTTGGAGACAAAACACAGAGAAAAATGCCTATGAGAAAAGCTGGAGCCCCAGTGGCTCAGAGCTTATGTTGGGGTACAAAGGCTGCCACCTGCTGCCAGTCGTACACTCCCAGCAGTGGAGGTGTACTGCCTGGCTGTTCTCTCTATATATGTTTTTCTCTCTATACCTATTTCATACTTTTTCCTTTGCCTCAGTGTTCATTCTCTTCTCCCCATCAAAATGATCAGAAAGAAAAGAGGTCTCATCTGCTTGCTCCACACAGTATCCAGAGCTCAGACCCATTTTTAGTGAGCAGAAACCACTCCAAATTTAAAACCCAACAGCTTCAGCCTCTCAATAGACTAGAGGCATGTGCCACCATGCCCAGATGAATTATATGTTTTAAAATGAGAGCCATATAATAACGAAGCTATTACTTTAAAAGTAACAGGTAAGGGCTCAAAATGTGGCTTAGTTATAGAGTGCCTGCCTACCATGCATGAAGCCCTGGGTTCAATTCCTCAGTACCACATAAACAGAAAAGGCTGGGGCTGGGAAGGTGGCTCAGTGGTAGAGTGCTTGCCTTGCATGCATGAGGCCCTGGGTTCAATTCCTCAGTACCACATAAGCACAAAAAGCCGGAAGTGTGGCTCAAATAGTAGAGTGCTAGCCTTGAGCAAAACCTCAAGGACAGTACGTAGGCCCTGAGTTCAAACCCCAGAACTGGTTAAAAAATAAATAAATAAATAAAAGTAACAGGAGTAACAGGTAAACTTTTGTTAAGCTTTCCTTGATTCACGGGCAGGGCACATGGTCTGGTTTCATGGCCTCACACTGGCACTGACCTTGGCTATTGGTCAACAGCATTCTTCCTAGATCCACAACAACTAATACAGGATTCTTGAACTTGAAATCATCAGGAAATATCACCTGAGGGGCAGAAATATCTAGCCGCACAGACCATCGTTTGCTTTCCTCCTGTAAGAATGAAACACAAGTCAGTAACCTGGTTGCTAACTGCTGTGGAGCTCAGCCTTCCTGGAACCCCAACCAGGCACTAGGGTTCCAATCCCTTGGATTACAGCAGGGTTAAAGTGCTGGAGGGTTACGACTATTCTCATAGGCAAATGTCTAAAGTAGAGAGAAAAATTAGCATATCATCAATTTGGGGAGAGTTGTTGGTCCTTTGGTTAATGAGCCATAGTTTAAGAAACATTTTGTTGGTTTGGGAATGTGGCTTAGTGGTAGAGTGCTTGCCTAACACACATGAACCCCGGGTTCAATTCCTCAGTGTGGCTCAAATGGCAGAGTGTAACCTTGAGCAAAAAGAAACTCAGGGGAGCTGGGAAGATGGCTCAGTGGTAGAGCACTTGCCTTGCATGCATGAGGCCCTGGGTTCGATTCCTCAGCACCACATAAGCAAAAAGAAAAA